TTTTTTGCGTATAATTGTATTTTTTTTTATTGCATCGTGTAGCTGATGTAAAAATATGTTTAGTTATATACACTATATGACCTTGAAATGACCTTCGAGACCAAAAGTCAAATGGAAACGACAAATTTTTGTCTATCGAGATTTTTGAGACGAAGACGTCGTTCGAGAATCTGTAAGTGTATATAAACATGTTTACTATATATGGTATATGCAGTTCACATATATTTAAATACTTGTAACATTATATCATTTTATTTCTGAAAACCAATTGTAGGAACTACCTACTTGTATAATAGTTGAGGGTAGCGTAGCCAGTTACTGTGGATTGACCAACTGCAGTGTCTTTGATATTAAATTTTTTATTCAAGGATAGACAGAACAACAGAATACAAAAATTTAATTTGTTTTGTTCGATAAATATAAAGTTAATTATGCCCGAAAACAAACAATAGGAATTTGACCAATTGGGAGATCCCCACAGTATTCGGTTACATTAGCCTATGCATATGAAGCATGATGCACACACTTGAAATTTGACTCACATTCAAATAAAATTTCTCAAAAACTGGGGATAACGAAGAAAATTAGCTTGCTGATTTAGCATAGCAGACGTTACAGGAACTATTCTTTGAAGAACTGAAGAGCCGAAAAACGATTTGTATCCAATAACTCGACACACTAATTGTATCATGAATGGTAACATAACCGTATGACTATAATAATGCAAGAATGCTTACCCCATAAACACACTCATTTGATACTCAATGAACAAGTCATTCGTTTTCTTAGTGCAATCCTTGTCCTCCGCTTTGCACCTCCAAGTCAAAATTAGTTCTCTGCTTAATTGTCTTAAATGATCGTCGTTGGTCGAATCTTCGAAATCAAGTGACGTGTATATTTTCGACGTTAAATGCAAAATGTATGATTTGATGAGAGAAGACACATTATCCTGTTGACCCTCGGATCGTTGTAACAAGAAATTAATTCCATTGAAGAATGCTTTCCAAGGGAGATATTCCATTTCATCACGTAAGTAATCGGTACATTTAAACGCCTCATCATAGGTTATTTCCGATGCTCTAGCCAGATTCAAAGCATCGTCGACTAATTGTGCACGGTTTGTTACGTAGATGTTGCTGTAATTTTGCTGGTACAATGCGTTGACCAGACTGTTCCACGAATTATTGTCGTACTTAACGCGGTAGAAGCCAGTTTGTTGAACGTTCAAAAGAAACCATGTTGAATTGTATACTTGAATAGTGATTGGCATGCGTTCCAACCAAAAATTTGTCGATGTCGTTACGAAATTGGGTGTAGATTCAGTCGCAACGGTGATAGGTATCCAAAATGGTACCTGTTTCGGGTTACCGGTACTGGTGTAGGTGAATCGTTTCTGCAACAGGCAGTTTGAAGTGTATTCAGGAAAAATGAGTATTAACGTACAGTCACTGGTATATTTGGACACTTTTTAAAATGGAATAACTTCTTCAAAACTAGACCAAGTGACTTGAATTTTGTTAGATGTCAGAGGGACTAGTTTACTAGACAATGTCTAAACAGATGTGGTAACCCATATGCATACTGAAAATTTTGATCGAAATCGGTGAAATACTACAAGCATTGTGAATGATATAAATATCTCCTAACTTCTAACAGTTAACAGATTTCTTAGTCGTGGAGAACTGCAATCTTTTGATTTTTAATTGTTTGTGGTTCATGAAAAGGTTAGCCGATGAAATTAGTTAGTTGATGAAATTTTCGGCAAGCATATAAGTTACAAATTCTTACTAAATGCATTGTTTTTCTAGGCTATGATAAAAAAAGTTAAAAAGCAACACTTGGTTTATCATTTCAATCAATTCCAATTTTTGCATAAACTTGTTTAGGGATTATAATTTAGGGGTATAATTAGGGGTTATAATTTAACGTGCCGTCAAGTCATTTAGTCCAATTTGTAAATCGTTATTACTTTTTAAATGTGTCAGAATATTTTAGTCATTGACTGTGTACGCAATCGTCATATTCAATATGTTAGTATTTCATCTTTCGTTAAAACGTTTGGGAACTTTTGCTACGTGACATTTCTGCTTTATTTGTATCTGCAAATTACTCTGGAAAATATAAACACTAAATCTTTGGCACGGGAACGAATCATTGATGTTTTATAAAACTTGTGAGTAGAAATTGGCTATACACTCAAGATATGAGTACATGATACACACAGTATCACAAGTGCATAAGAATTCGTTATTTTGCTTCATATAAAATAATATTCGTCATGCTTGCATCTATCTAAAACTACTTATATCAGATTATGTGATCTATAAATCCATTTATCTCTTATCTGATATAATTTTTGGTACTGTGTGAACAGTTTTGGAAACGAATAATGCACTGGGACTTTATCTTTTATTAGTCATTTAGAATTCAATTATTTATGAAATATACCTGTGTTAATTTTACTATTTGGTTATCACGATCTGCATATACAATGGGATATCCAGCTTCATTAGTCCAGGCGTCCATTATGTTTTCGACAGATATTCCCGCGGTTACATTCACATGCGTTTCATTAATTACTTCGTCAAAAGCTTGCCAGAGATCTTTTGGTGTTGTCGTGTTGTACTTATGCTGCCGTAAGTATCGCTTGATTGCTTTCAGAAAAACATCTTTACCGAATGAATGCTCTACCATTCGCAACATACTAGATCCTGCAAATTGATTAATTGTGTGCACTAGGTTTCAGTCAGGTGACAATTTAACAAAAAATATTGATACTTCCTAAAATATGAAAATTTATATCAAATCAAATAATTATAGACTCAGACTCGATACTTTTACCTACGCAGCGTAAATAACTTTGTGATAGGCACAGAGTGTCGGCTAATTAATTTTAAATCTCACTCCAAAATGTGAAAATCGCACTGTTGTCCTGTGATTATCATTACAGTATAACGATTAGAACTTTTTTGATTCTAATCATTTCTTGCAAGAAAAAAATTTACTTTTACTGTGCACCTACAGTTACTTGAGTTCTTAAATATCGATAACAAGAGAATTCGATTTGATTTCGACTTATAGAATCGAAGTGTCATTCATACTGAACAGGTTATTACAGATATCAGAAGTACGACTCATCAAAGTGTGGTGAGGGGTCATTGAAGGGAAATTCTTTAAACGGTGGTCTCGTTATAATTTTTCCTATCATATCAATTATTGATTGCATATCCGGAATAATTAAAAAAGTTTAAGCTGTTATAAATTTAGCTTACAAAAAGCTCGAGTGCTAAGAATACTAATCACTTACCTTTTCCATACGTAATACCGTCGAAAATGTCTTCAATTTCATAGGGTGAAGTGACAGGCTTGTTCATGGGATGCGATGTTGTATAATCATCTTCCAGCATGGCTTCTTGTAGTTCATTAACAACAAAAAGTTCATTAAATTTATGACTAGGTTGCAACTGTAACAAGTAGAAATTTCATAAAGAAATATATCCAGTTATCACCGCTATTAGAAATCGAAGTTAATTAGAGGATCGTACTATATCAGAAATGATCCACTGTATGTACTCAGCGAATCCTTCGTTAAGCCAAGTGTATTCCCACCAATCACAGGTCACCAAATTTCCGAACCACATATGAGTCAGTTCGTGCGCTATTATGGTTGTAATATAATCTTTAAACTTAGCTGATGTGACTGTATCATTATACTGAATACCATAATCCCTGCAAACATAATTATTCTTAAGATTAGACTGCTTTCGGCGTGACAGGATGATCGTCTGACCATTAGCCGTTCGTGGGATTTTATCTTATTAACGCAAACGACTTTTGTAGAGAAAGTAATAAAATTTAAGAATCCATAATAACATTGTTGAATTGTGTTGAAAAAGAAACTTCAGCCTCGGACAAAAATTAATCTATCGTGTACTTAGGACTGAGATTCGAAAATATCAGTTTACATTTCCGCCGGTTCCGTCAGCGCGCACCGATGGTGATGTAAACTGTATATTATAGATACCGCGATATATCATCGCCGGTGTCGTTAGAGCACATCGTGCTGTGACTGTTAGTGATCCCAGTATCGCGTATACAATGTAAAACGTGATGAATCACCGTCTTTGATTGGTGGGGAAGACCAAACCAAAACGAGTATATAAGCAGGCGATTTTCAGGTTTGGTCGCTCAGTCATTTCGTACATATACCTTCTCTCAAATAAAAGTAAAAATAAAACTTTTAAGAAAAAGAATTAATATCATATTCATTTGAGAAATAATCCAAACCATAATCCCAATAAATTGTTTTGTATGTATGTAAATGTATGTATATGTAAATAAAGCAGATTTCACGTTATCGAGATATTAATAACACTCGTGTGTTACTTATCTAGCAGCTACTCAACATGGTTATCAGACACTTACCAATCAATTCAATCAATTACTAACTAATTAAATTTGTTATATGCCCTCAAAAAGGAGAGTCTATTAAAACTTGAAGATTTAATAGTCAAGTGACTTCGCACTTCTTGCTCATTTCATGAAAATAATAGATCGAAGATCACAATATTATAATAATGCTGTAATGATGTGCTGTTTTTAAGAATTTATTTGGTAATTTTCATTAACAATTTTGATGCTATAAATCTATAATAGCGTAATGTGCCAGTGGAAAAGTAAAAAATACTTCAAGTATAATACAAACAAATATTTTAAAACGAGTGCAAATTGAAAGGTTTTATTAGCAATAAGTTAATAGATGTTATAGTTAATAGATAATCTGTAATAATACAGATTAGAAAGTGCAATGGTCTGTAAAATCCCATAGATCTTAACTGAATGAACTGGAAATGTCTTATTGAAGGCAGTTAAGATTACAATGGTTCCCTTGGTTTGTGTCGGTAGAATCGCGGCGGAAAATAAATTTTATTATATTTAACTTTTCTATAGAAACATTCACGGAGGTCAGCCAGAAATTTGTAAATATTGTATCAATATAAAGTGACTACAGATATCAATGAAATCGCTTACCTAAACGTAGCAAGACCCCAGTTTTCCATAGCACCCTGTGAAAAGTCTGGAATTGCCACCAAATCTAATTTTGGTAAAGCGTATTCTATATCTGTCATGTTGTGCAAATATTCAAGGAACCGTTTCGCAGCTGTTTGAGCGTAGTCACCACTTGATGCCATATGGGGCGCACTCCACACTTTTACATTTGTATCTTCACTCCTTACTGGTTTGAAGTCGGAAACGACAAATGCAACTAAATACGTCGACATCGGTACACTTTCATTAAATGTTTCCCACATGCGATCTGGATCACTAAATAGGACGTTTCAATTATTACGAATTTTGTGGAATACATAGAGATAACTACGAATGCAAGACAATTTTCAAATGGAATTTCATAGAAGCTTCTTTACTTATGAGTTCTATAGTTACATTTTGAATAATTCTCACTATTTGATTGATATTTATATAAATTCTGATTATAAACGACACAGAGTTTGAGTATATATTTAATTGCATTAGTAATGATATGAAATTATATTGAATAAGGGTAATAGAAAGACATGGTTAAATCTCGGTGAAGTTAGTCGCCTATGGTGATTCATATAAAGTTTCGTACAGTGTTAGGTACACACATTCAACACAAAATTCCATCGTCAGAATGTCATCGATAGCTTGTGAATAACGTAGAATTGTTTGATTATGCAATTTCTGTAATTGATGTTTGTAATGTGGGAAAGTATCAAAATCAATTATAAGAATAATATACTCACTTCGATGGCGTGACTTTTATCGAGGGCATATTACTGAGAGCGGTGTAATGAACAGGCCTCTCGATATTTATTGTAAACTTAGCCTTATATGCTGGCTCGTCGAAGCAAGGAAATGCCATTCTAGCATATGTGGCTTGGAATTGGGTTGTTGCCAACCAACTGTAAGTCATTAAATTAAATAAATAATGTATTACACGGATATACAATTGTTATGTACTGAGTTAGTATCCAAATTAATAACTCTTGACATTTAGAATATTAAACGAATTTATGATTAATATTATGCAGGGTGCCTTATGATTAATATTATCAGTCGCCACGGGATTTGAAATATGTTTTCAACAAAAGTACATTGGTGCGATGAAAAAAACTTTGACAAATATGATTTTTTCGAGCAGAAATCATTTTACGTTTTTCTAAACAACACCATATATATTTTCTTTACGATATTTTTAAGCTACGGAGAAATATCAATTCAATGGTGTAAATTAGTTATACTTACTGTATCTTTTTGCTACTATCTTCATAGTAGCTGCGATAAAAGCCTACCATATCGTTATTCAGGATACCGGTATATTCAATCTCAAGAATAATAGCTTTATTCTGTACGAAATGCTCCGTAAATACCGTCAGCATTTCGGTTTCTTCGTTCAGAACGTGTTCACCCAGTACATTTAATTCTTCTCCAATTGTCAAATTCCCTTGACTATTATAGACCTTTACCAGTGTTATGGTCAGCCCATTACTGTTAACAACTATACGCGACGTAGGTTCCAGAGACTGCATTTCTATTTGCACTTTACCGTTGAAGATGGAATGTCCTTCTTTGATATCCGGGGATATGGTGATATTATACTTCAGTGGAGAATACAATTTAGGTAAGCGATAGTTCGTGTCTGGATAATTAACTTCCAACCATCTGTGCATCTCTGGAATGTACTTCTCAGCCCATTTTCGCTCATTATCAGCAGCATTCTTAGCGGCAATGAAACTGTCACTGGCTGATGGATCTTTTACTCTTAACCAATTAATGAGTTCGACGAACTGTAATTAAAATGTAATTTGAAAACAACTACCTTATATTTAAAAGATATAACTATATATAAAAGCTGGATATCAGAAAGCTTTTTTAAGAAAGAAAAATTGTTTGTAACCACATGATTAAAGTAACAACGATTGGTAAAATATAACGATTCTGATTGACCGAAATCGTTTTACGTCACTGATGATCACCATTGATAATGAGTATCCTATTTCGCTTATTCATAACAGTTATCGATGAGAGAAATTTAATAATATCATGATAGTGTGAAGTATTGTTTTACATTCGATCGAAATACAATTTCCATTATGAATAACTGTTTATAAGTGACCGAAATAAGTTGCACTCTCCAATAGCTATTATGATCAACCAAAAGAAATATTACTGCTCCATAATCATTACAAGCAATGAACAAGAATTATCGATTACTTATAATAATTAATTGTAATATAAAATGTTTACTCTCCATTTATACGAACAAAATTTTGAACAATGCTTAATACTGCGAACTTCTACTGAAGTCCTATTATTTGAACTACTATCCAGCATCACTTCAATTATGTGAACAATCTATTGTTATCATCTGAGAAATGAATTAAGTGTTCGGTTAAATCCATTTGTCTGAACGCGAATTCTGGTTATTTGAATGAAAAGTTACAAGTGATCAGCGGACTCCTATTATATGAACGATTGTGTCCTGTGAATGGTTGTCTCCTACCGAGTTCATATAAATTCTACTGTAACTACATACATGAGCATATAGAAATTCTTATAGACAGTAGTGTCTTTATAAATTCTCTTGCATTAAATAAAATTGCATTCAATAATTGGATTGCTTCATTTGTAAGTGCACTAGATCGCATCAAATGAATTAAGTAATTATGATCGATTCTTGGGGATACTCTACGTATCCGCTTAAAACGTATGTAACCTACCTCTGAATATGGTTTATCAGCAATCACTCTTTTTGCCAATGTGTTAAGGATACTCTTGATTTCCGAATAACCTCCGTAGCTGTTAACAATGCATCACATAACAATAACTATCTTATAACTATAACTGTCTTATAACTATCTATAACTCTACTTAGGTCATTGTATCAGAATGTATTTTACTTACTAATCGAACATCTTATCATAGTTTTTCTTAATGAAATCCATCACAGTTTTAGCCCCTTCTAGACTAGCTTCGATCACGTAAGAAAATACGGCACTACTGTCTTCTTTTCGTACTTCTAACTTCACACTTATAGCTTTCAGAAGTAATCTTTGATTCGAAATAATAAACGTTTATAGTTTGTCTTTTGTATTCGATGTAAATAGAATCGTTAAAAGTAAACTTACTCTTCGAGGAATTTTGGTTCCGTTGTACAGGCCAGAGATTGAAGGATTAATGCTTTGTCCGAAGCCATAGTACTTGTGTTGTATCGCATCATCAATGTTTGCCAGTTTGCATTTTTCTTAGCTATTACGCAATAGACAGTACTTCGATAATTCGGTCGAATGCTGTAATTAAGGTACATTGAAATATATTTGCATCGAATTTACCGAGGGCATGTCTTTCAAATCTAGGTATTGTGACTACATCGAACACTAACTATCGTTTAAGGAATAATTCTGCGGCATCAGTTTCACAATTTCCAACTTCCATTTCGCAAGCCCATTTGCGAAGCTGTATTTTTAAAAGTTTTGTTGTATGTGAATCTTTGGGGTTGTCAGTGAAACCGTATCGTTCATATATCGGAGTGATGATTCCGGTTACATATCTCTGCAACAGACGATTCCATTTATGACAATGAAACATTCTTTTTATTAGCTCGCTATGGAAATTTGTTAGAAATACAAATATAACATGATAACGATAAGATACCCGGATATATATTTATCCTGACAATGCTGGTTTACTGAAATTTATCTATGCAATCTATTTTGTTTTTTGTATTTTTAAGAAAAATGGTTTTAGATATATGTATACTTTTAAGAAATAATCTTTTTAATTTAAAAGATTTTCACAACAAAAGTAGTAACAAAGAAAGTTTCAATAATGTCAACATTAATTTTGTTCCGTAATATTTTTTTCATGACTATATTCCGAAGAAGTATTTAGCCCTTTCGAAATAACTATCGTGATATATAAAATGCATATCACGAATACAGAGAATTGGAACTGCATTGCAGGTTGAATAAATGTTTAATGTAGTAACAATCTCGAAAGTAAATTGAGTCGAGCATTGTAAGAATATGTAGAGTAACTTACGACATGAGAACAGATAAGAAAAATAGAGTACTAAGATGGAAAACTTGTCATAAAGTTAGTATCGTACTTTGAAAGCGCCATATGCATCCCTGCCTTCGAATTGTCTACGTAGATAGGTCAATCCGGTGAAGAATGCTTTTAATGGAATATAACTAGTTTCGTTGACCAAATACTGTGTTGCAAATAGCATGATGTTGTTATTAACATTCCCATTTCTGGCAAAGTTCATTAAATCATCGATGATCGCGGCTCTGTTGATTTCGTCTATTTTGTCGAAGTGTTCAGATTTTAAGAACTTGATTATTTGGTCCCAATAATTGTCATCGTAATTTACACGATAGTATCCTGAAACGAAGTATTAATTTGAATTTTTTTAAATATTTTAGCTTGACGATTAATTGAGGGATATGAGAACTTAACTGTACGAAATTAGAAAAAATGCAAGTAACGTTATTCTTTTAGGATTATGATTCATAAAACGTTTTAAAAGATAAGAAAAGCACATAAAATGTAGTTACTACTGATCTTGATATTTTTGGTTACTTGAAACTGTATCGTACGTGTTTTGCAGTGAAATCAACAAAAGTTCTCAAAGTTGAAAATTTGACATTTTAACAAAATTAATTTTCGCAAATTCTAGAAATAAACGAGAGCATTGAGTTATTGAGTTCATACAAATGTAAAGGCTTCTTCTACTGTTCATTGAAACATCAACATTTAATTTACTTAATTTCATAAATTATTTAGTAATAATGAAAATAATTAATTTACGTTCATTATAATAGCTGGTTATATATAATTTCTATATTGCGGATCTTCATGAAAATTATCATTTTTTGGAATAACTTTCTAAACATTTAAAGAAGGGAAAAATTTGTTATATTGACTAGAGAGTTCCTTTTATGGCGAACATAGAATAATACTACATCAGTATGCACCTTTCCTTGAACGCACATTTCCCAATCGAATGTGAAATCATAAAAGAGTTATTAATGTTCCATTCTGCATAATGATTCGATACTTATAGATAAATGCAATAGAGAACTGATCTATTTCATAACAACGAACATTAATTATCGGACGTTGTGTGTTTATTAACAATATTAAATCAACATTTAGATTCGCTAAAGTTGCCTCCATAATTGCATCAAGTGTTAATGTGGGTTGTGACCGGAGTATTAGCGTAAGCTGCGTTGAAGACAATAAATTCACCATTTCATACTCACCCGATTGTCGAATATTAAATATGAATAAATCTGTTTTATTTATCAGTAGATCGATAGAATCACTCATCTTGTTCAACCAATGCTTTGGCTTTGTATCATTGAAATTCGGTTCATTTAGACTTGTCCATGTAATAGGAATATTCCATACTGTTCTGTAGTCCGTCCCATTAATTAGAAATCTTTCTTGGTTTAATTTAAACTCGTTGAAATCAAAGCTAACTTTTACTACAGGATACCCAGGTTGTGTGGTCCACGAATTCATGATATCGTGTATCGAATTCTTCATATTAACATCAGCGATTTCTTCTTTGAAAGCATCGAACAAATTTTCTGGCGTGGCTACACCGTATTGTCTACGAAATCAAACGATTGGAGAAGCGTTAGTGTACCGCTTAACTTGAATCATACAACATGAATGAAAATTAGTGAAATAGAGGATAGCTTTTGGATAGAAAACCTTTGAAACATAGGTTTCGTACTTTCGAAAATTACATAAGACATCAAGTGAAGTGAAGTTTAAGATGTTATTTTCTCTAATTATTTACAAATATTTCTATATTGTAGACGAAGTCCACATCAAATAATATGTTATTAATGTATAGAATCTTTCGTATAGAGACAATTGGACACACACACATTACTTTGTTTTAAAGTCAATATACAATTGAATTCATTTACAACTTACTGTTTGTTGAGGTATTTCGAGAGAGCCTGGTAGAATACTACATCACCGAATGACGCCCTCACCATTCGTATCACACTAGCAGCTTTAGCATAAGATATTGTATCAAACATTCCTTTAATTTCTGTTGGACTATCTACATCATGTGTCATGGGGTGGCTGGTTATAGAACTGTCTACACTAAGAGCTGTGTGAAGGTGGTCTACTACGAACTGAGCATCAAGAGACCAATCTATCATTACCTATTACAAACATTTTCTTTTATCAGTTATAGTGATACTAATAAACAGCAAATACTTATATTCATTAATACGACCAATAAATATACTAATCATTATTTTCAACAGCTAGTTGTTTGAAGCTTATGCTTTACTTTTGCTCAATCATAATTCAAAGGGCTAATTTAAGTGTCTTATGTTAAACGATAAAAGTAACCAAATTGAAATTTTTTCGAAATACAAAAATAATTCTCAAATTCTTCGATTAAATTCAGGTTCTTTCTGAAATCATTTCGAATATGAATCAATACGTTCGATCCTTACAGTTGCAGTTCCGAGATATTGGAAATATCTAGCAAAACCCTCGTTCAACCAGGTATATTTCCACCAGGCAGGGCTGACCATGTTTCCAAACCATTGATGTGCGATTTCGTGCGATATAACATTAGTTATGGCCTGCTTCGATGGCAGTGTGGAGTTACGATCCAAATATAACAAGTTCCTTTCTTTGTAAGTTAGTACGCCCCAATTTTCCATTGCACCAGACACAAAGTCTGGTAGCGCTACCATCTCAAGCTTTGGAAGTTGATATGAAATATTTAGGTTGTTTTCGTAAAATTTCACAAGTGGCTGCATCACTGACAAGGCGTAGTGTGCTTGATGAACTGCATTTGACCTGGCCCAGACTGTGTACCTTTCGTAACTAGTTACACCTTCGAAATCGGAGACGACTAGGACCACCAAATAGGTGGACATTTTCGGCGTTTCTTTGAATGTTATTGTTTTCTGATTGTCTCTACAATGCAACAGAGAAGTTAAATGATATTTATCAATGAAAAAATTAAGTATCCCATAAAAATATAATTATCTCAAGAATAAAAACTGCGTACATAATTTGATAGCAGCTGCTTTAGCAGCTACTGGTCTACTATAACGAACTATTTCACGAAATTGAGAGATCAATTGGGAGATCAAAATGTAAAGTTTTCCAAGCGATCCTATTTCGAAATGGAATCTTAATAACTTTTAGAAAGTAAAACCGTTGTTGATATTTGCAATTTTAATAAAGGAGTTTACATACGGGTGTCTGATTACAGTGTCCATCTGTGTATTACTAATTGCATCGTATCCTTCTTGTACAGTGACCTTCATCTTAAATGTCGCTTTCAAAGCTGGCTCATCAAAGCAGGGAAATACTGTTCTAGCATATACTGGCTCCATCTGAGTAGTGGCTAACCATCTGGCAACCAAAGAAAGAGATTACATGTATTCTATATTCCATATTATTCGAAAGGCATAGCGAATATTGTTCTCTTGCCTCTTGAAACTACAATAGAACCTTCTTTATATTAACAAGTTGCAGCATGTAAATGATTACATATGGGAATTTTCCCATTAAAAAACCATTTTCCTTCTTTTAATGTAATTTAGTACTCGAGACAAAATGGGGTAAAATGACTATACGTAATGCAATACGTGTATAGGTAAGTCCATTCATAGAATACAAGATATGGCAGACAATAATATTCAGTCATGAATAAATGTGAAACTGCAGAATCAAGTAAACTTGTTCTGCGTTCAGAAGAGTGTCAAGATTTTCGAATATAATACTTTATAAATCCATTCCACATTTAAAATGAATCATATTCTTAGAAACAAAGAACGATGAAGAGGTAAAATGACGGATGAGGAAATATCTAAGTTATCTCGTTGTAAGCATTGTGACGCGTAGTTTTATTCTTTATATCCCCTCTTATATTCCCTGATTAGTGTTTTTCGATAATAACTCGTTAAAAAATCCGGCCAGGACATTTTCGCTAAAAGTGTCTTTCAATGACCCTAGGTATAATCCGTTGCATTTGATTCGAACATTTATGGAACAACTTAGTTTATAATATTGTATATAATTAAATCATTACCTTATCTCACCGGAGTCTGTCGTATACCAGCTGCGGTAAAATCCTTTTCCTATGTCATTTATCATGCCGCTGAACGGAATATGAATGTTCACAATCTCTCCGACAGTCAACTCCTTTCCAAGTTTCAGTTCTAGGAAATCGTAATCGTAGGTTGTCGCTATATCCACAATGTCAATCGTACTATCCCCAACGGAGACTCTCACATCTGCTTCCACAATTTTCGTCAAACAATGCAAAACAATGGTGTTTGTTCTTTGTTTGACCTCTGCTGTAATGTCGACTTCTCCTTCGTATTTAAACGTATCGATAAATGGTTTCATATGGATCGAGTATGTCAATGGTACTAAGTTTTCTGGCAAGCGGTAATCTGATAATCTTGGATCGGTGCCATTTTCCTTGTTATAGTTTCTTATCCAGGAAATTATATCGTTCTTGTACTTGTCAAACCAAAGTAATTCATATTTTGCAATTTCAAGAGATTTATTAAGAGAGCTCAAGATGTCTTTGAATTCCGATTGGTGAGTCTTGATTAGATTCTCGAATTGATCAACCGCTTTCTGCGTCGAGAAGCCTTGAGACGCTGTCGACAAAATGCTAGCGATGTTTTCCGTTCCATTGTAACTGCAACAAATGCGGCGACATTGTAAATAAATGCAGTAAATAATATTTAGTTCCTTAAGATTCTGACATCTTGTAAAATGTAATTATAACATTCATCAAAATAAATAGACTAAAATACGTTAATAAAAGTAATTAGAAATTATGTTTGCGATTAATAGATCGGAAATCCTTTAATACACTCTTACATGAAAGTATTCAAACAATAAAAAAGATATACATTGAAGGGAAAGAATTGTAAGTAAAGTGGTTTCATAACTTGATCTCTTTAAATTAATGTAAAATATTGCTGCAGCGCAAGTCGTATGAAGCATTGGCGCTATAAAATATCTTGTATTTAATTTAACTTAAAGTTGTATATACAGTGCTACGAAATATACTATAAGCAAGTTAAAGGAAATAAATTCTAATATCTCGAAGTTAAAATTCAAAATATTGGGATCGTGAACATGAAGTTATGAAAATGTCGACTTGTACAAGAATGTGTTTCTATTGTTTTTTTTTTGCACCAATACGTACTATTCAGTAATCTTTGTATGGTGCTTCTGGACGAAGTCCAAAATGTACACTGCGCCATTGTAACCGGAACTGGAAATAGCAGAGAATACGGAAGTACTGTCCTGCCGACGAATTCTGCTCTTTTCGAAATCCATGACTGCATTTAACAGGTATCTGGAAATATAAAAAACATTCAATGACTCATTTATTGCAGGCAAGTAGAAAATGTTTACGAAAACGGACTTTGGTCAAAAAATGATCAGAAATTAAAATTAGACGATAACTTATGTTTTTCGTCGATTCTAATTTTTGTTATTTTGGTGAAATATCGAATGATTGTGTATAATACATTCGAATATGTTACAGTATTATATCATTCCTAGATTCTGAAAGTTTAATGAATATACTTTCGAATTATATTTTCAGCATGTTCTATAGATTCAATATTTATCTATGGTCCACGGTTTAATCACAAAATGACACTTCTGAGTTTTACCTTTCCCGAAGACTAGAATCTTGCGTGCAACCGAGAGCTTGCATTATATCTGACTGTTCAGCAGCTGAATTTGAATTGAAATATTGGTTCCACAAGAATTCCCAATCATCTTTCGTTCCATATCTAATTCCTGTGCAGAAGGCTACGGCCCTTTGGTTCGGTTTAACACTGCGAATAAAACAGAATCATATACAACAATTAAACATATTCAACATTAAACTGAAGAAATGTTTTACAATTTATACAAGTATTTATAACAAGTGAGACTGTGTGTTCTAAGTTTAGAACATGTACATATATGTAAATTGGATTGTTCCATAATTTTGTGTGGTTCTCTATGAAAATATTCATTATTTCATGCAAACCAGAGTCAGAGAAAAATTTATTTTACGTAATGTAGCTTGTGATGCAAGAAAAATAGAAGCATGTATTGTTAAAATACGTTAATTTCAACATGTTCTCGTACTTCACAATTTAACAATTTAACAAATATAATAAACAAATACAATCTAGTCATGAGTGTATTTATTTATCGGAATGAAATAATTTGATCAAATAGTCTACTGTGTATTGAACAAGAAAATTATGTATTTTCTTACCTTAATTTATTACTTATTTTCCATTGTCGAAATTCTTCTATGAAATATTTTGTGCATCCCTCGTGACCGTAATTGCAAGCCCATTTATTCAGTTCACTTCTCAATAATACCGTTAATCTGTCGTCGTTTGAACGATCCACGTAACCAAGATTTTCATATATATCGACAATGAGTGATAATACAAAACCCTGCAATGATTTATTAAAGAAATCAGCGTTACTTTTAAACATAGACGTATATAATCATATAAAATTGAATTACACATTTAATGAAAGTTATATTATTATATGATTAATATTTAATAATATTCGTATTAAATTAAAAATACATATTATAGTGTAGTATATAACATATTGTTTATATTGCAACATTGTAATATTTAGCGCATACAACAAATAAACAAAATAATAAAAATAAAAAAACATGAATAAGAAATAAAAGATTAAGAAATTATAAAAGATTAAAATTAATATTTTCGTTGACATAATACAAAAAAAAATCTTTATCGTACGTTAAGAAGATTTACTACACCCAAGAATACGCATCTCTCTAACATGTTTCTCAATTTTTGTCGGAAAATATATAACTGAAACGTATGTAGAATTCTAATTAAATAATTTGTAAACGAACCTTAAATTCTTCGTAATATTTGTTGTTACCAGAAAATCGCCGATCGAGATAAGTTAATCCAGAAAACGCAGACTTGAAAGGCAAATAATTCGTTTCGTTTTTGATGTACTGTAAGCCATCCAAAGCCGTTTTATATTTCAAGAAACCAGCTCTTGCCAAATTCAATAAATCGTCAACAATAGCTGCTCTGTTAACATCGCTTATGTTTTGGTAATTCTTGCTGTTCAAAACGTCGAGGATACGATACCAAGAAGCATTATCGTAATTTACCCGGTAGAAACCTGTGAAAATGATCAACAATTAGTACAATTATAGTGAAATATTTAAATAAATGTTTAAATCCGTTTACACACAGAAAACCCATTATGAGATCATATAGGAATTCGCATTGTTTTAATTAATAATTGCGTAGTCAGAAGTTCTTTAATTCTGAAAAATCTTTTCCTAAGAAGATTTTCCTTAGATTTTCCTAAATCTAAATCTTTTCCTATATGTCTAGGACCAGATGTCTTTTATTTATATTCTCGTATAGTAGAATTGTAAAGTACATAATCTTGTGAAGACTTAAAATTTCTAAATTAATCTCTAAAATAAATTGTTTAAAAAAATTAATTTACTGTTCCGTTCTTGAAAAAATGTTTGTAATACAGAAACAGTATAAGGATACTATTACTTTACAAAATTTGACTTCTTGCACCAATTGAAATTTTGGAATTTTTGAACAAATATTCTTTTAAAATTTCAGCTTTTCTATTTCGAAAGCAGTTTACCAGTTCATTTCTACATCATTCCTTAATCAAGTTTGTCGAAAAAATTAAAAATCCAGCTAGACAAGTGAACTGAATGGTGACACTGTTTATCAAACTATTTATAGTTATATTCTAAAATTGTCGAACAAAATTATGCGATCAGAAGTGTTCTTTAACCGTCCTCGTTATCACGTGCTATTTAAAAAAGCAGCAATTTTAGTATTCATAATTAACGTACTTAAACGCGATCATTGATAATTTCTTTGATTACCTTCTGATTCATTACTACTGGTGACTGTAGCTTGATTTTCATGGATGGATAAGGTAAAACCAATTAACAATAATGCAACACATAAAGTATTCATGATAGAATATGAACGATTTCCATCGGCTTGTTTTTTCGCTACGTTAACTTAGATAATTTTGATGATCCGTTTGAAAGCAGTCATAATGATTAGACTAGAAAACGAGGACTACTACTACTGATTTTTTCATTGCTTATATATCACTAAACTTATCGAGTACTTACATCTGACATTTTTTTAAAAGAAGTGGGATTTGTAGTAACCTATCAAAATTCAAGAGGAATACAATGGCTTACTTATCGAATGTTAAAATCCAGTTTACGTAAATGAAAAGATGAGTACATTTTTCATTAAATGATATGAATGTTTTTCAGATGTTTAATCGAATCTTCCTAGATAGTAATTGATTGGGATAATTAAAAAAATTAAAAAAACATGAAATCACAAGGAAAATTTAATAAAATGCTGAAAATTACGTCTAAATCGTTGAGCGTAGTCAAGCTACAGGCACTGAAAGATATAATAATTATCTGTTTTTCAATCTTTAGATATTAACAGTTCGCACCAACGTCAACTGATTTCCATGAAATTTTCAGCATATATGAATTAAATAATAATGTATGGATAAAATAATTGTTTTCCTATCGTTGTAAAACTAAAACATATATTCAATGCATTAGACACGCGATAACAATATTTTTTTGTAGTGCAAAAATTTGATATACAGTTTATAACACTTCAAATATATTTTATTGGTTTTTCTGCAATACTATATTTTTCAAAATCACGTAATATGGTACTATTAACATTCCGTAGCTGACTCGAGCATGTTTCGTTTCTCATTATAGATTTTGAAGAATCGATATTATATAATTTATCAATATGATTCATGTATTATCTAGAGACTGAAAACTAGTATCCAGATGAGTCTGATTAATTATCAAAATTTGATGTCTTCAGAGTACAATGTCTAGTTATCACGTATGTAACTGATAGGAAATTAATATAACTTCCTAGTTACCTCTAAGATCATATGAAGTACATAATATTTTTAGCAGAAGATCTTGTGATAAATAATGATATCATGAATAAATACGGAGCCGGAAATACGCATTCACAAACATTCACTTCGAAAAGAGATATAGATATGGTCTTGTGTTATCGCTGTATCTCAACTTCTGGTAAATGTCTGCAGGACACATAAGTTTGTGATTATAAAATGAACTTCATTTTACAATAAAATATTTTTACTTATTAAGGAACATTTAAAGAACATTTCTGTACAATATAAACGATCTAATACTACAAGATTTTTAAAAGCTTAATATCTGAAAATATTAAGCTTTATATATAATTTTATAATTTTACTATTTTTATTAAAACTAAAGTATCGATTCAACAATAATAATTAAATATTAATTTAACATTAAGTGATATAAAATATAAAAAACACCGATAACTTCGATGTATTAAAAAATTGTTTGATGATCCCAGTAATATGCGGTATTCAATTTTCTCTAATATTATTTTATATTATCGAGAAAAGGTTAAAGGAAAATAAAAATAAGATAAAAGTCAAAATTTTAACCCTCTGTCGTGCCCAGACAGCGAATTTTTGTCCAAATTCGCATCTACATACTTTATTACACAAAAATTAGAATTAAGGATTAATTAATTAATTAAACGATTATTCAGTTTAAAACTCTAATAGTGAGGTTTGTAGTATGAAAATGTGCGTGTCTGATATATGAACAAGTGAGTGAGTACAGTGAAATTATAAATGTCAATTGGTTCGAGAATATTGATTAATTGTTTAATGGAATTGTATCCGAACGTTTGTACGAAAATATAACTATTTCACTTCCAATTCTTACAAATGGAAAGTAGAAATGCTATTAGACCTTATTAATTTCTACAGTTTTTAGCATTTCAAAAATCTACACACGTCGTAAATGCATAAATATCTGCAGTCTTATAAAAAACGTCGAACTATGCTCTACAAGGTTTTCTTCGAACAGTACGAAATTCTTCTGAAGCAATTATCAGTAAAAACATTTAATAAAAGACATAATAATAAAATTGCTTGAAATAAAAAGAAAATTAATAAGCTACTCACCAGCTGATTGGACATTCAGTACTACCCATTCATGACCAGTTCCCAAATCAAGGGTGTCCTGCTCTTTGCTAATCCAGCGTGTCACATTCACATTATTGAAATTCGGATTGCTTTCGCTGGCCCACGTGATCGGTATCCACCATGTCGAATTTATTGGAGTCGCTTTCAAATTTCTCAACAGGAATCGGTATTGCCAACAGTGGGCTTTACCATTTTCAATGACGACATTCAGTACTGGAAATCCGGCTTGTGTTGTCCAAGTAGACATAATTTGGTTCACTGGAGCAGCGAGTTGCTTGTTTTGCCGATTGACTTCGTTTTGTAATTCTTTCCACAGATTCTCAGGTTCTGCGACTTTCTTTTCTTTGCTGCAATAGATGTATATCATATTAGGTTCATTTATAAAGACGGGGAGAAAATAAGTTACTTTTTACGTAATGCATGCATTCGTTTGTTAGTGGCTGTCACGGACAACGTTGTATTCGTACGTGCGAATTGTATAACAATAGTAGAAGAGTTACTGTGATAAGAATATTTATAAGAAGTTATATAAGAATTGTTAATGATTATCTAATTTTTAATAATTAAATCCCGCGCAAAGATGTCGCGTAAGTGCGTGGGTGTGCGTGATCCGAGTGCGAATGCGAGCGCGTGTTAGATCGAATGCTTAGAAGAGACAGTATGATTGGTAACGACACAGGTGCGAACGTTAAAAAAGAGCCACGTTTCTATTTAATTTATATTTGTTATAATTGATATAAAAAATCTTTATTTCGGATGAAGATCCGTAGTCTACTAATAATATTTGAATTATATTGCTGTGTTTGAATTATATTTCATTTCTCCCGACGCATTCAGGAGAAATGTAATTACTAAACAGCGAATCTTTTTTTAATTTCATATCCCGTCAGCGTTTTTAGATAAAATTTATATAAAAATTGAACGGATACCACCAGAATTAGTTTTTCTAATTAGAAGAATCATCGTAGAAGAGCTAAACTAAAGATGTCATTCATTTCAGAAGATACAAACGCGTTCTAGTATTTCAGAAATTTGCACATGACATAAATGCATAAAGATTCGCAGTCTAGTAATGACAATTATCAATAGACTGCATGCATTACGTAATTGTAATAAATGATCGTATTACTTGTTCTGCAGATAATTTCGTAATCCCGCAACGAATATATCGTTACCGAAAACAAGACTCATCATTCGCACAATGCTTCCTCCTTTGTTGTACGTAATAGTATCCCCAATTCCGGCTAGTTGTGTAAAACTTTGAACATTTCTAGTCATTGGTTCAGATGATTCGAGACCATCAGCTGCCATACCAGTTTGAATCTGTTCTACAACAAATTGTTTCTCCATGTTCCACGATTTCTCGACCTGTAACATTAATTACAATCTGATAACAAGTGATGCGAAAATATTGAAATCATTACAATCATTAAGAAAATTGATACCATCGAGATGGTTCAGATAGTCAATGCTGAGTGTTTACTATATGTTAGGATTACTATCATCAAAAAGTTTATTAATTAGTTTTACATGGTAGACATTCACGTGTTATTTGCGTCTTGCTTTGTTTGATGTAATCAAAGGGAATATGCAATTGTTAAGATCATTCAAATATTTTAATTGCCAAAATATTTAAGATAGCGCGATTTAAATTGTTGAAATAGTTCAACTTATGTCTCAGTATCTACAATACGAATATAATCTGGAATTTTTATATTTAAAATTAATGTAATTCATTGATTAATTTACAATTAAATAATCGGTCAAATTTATGTAATAGAGTATATTATTTATTCCACGACCGAAGGAATTGTTTTCGTTGTATATTTCTTTTCATCGACTAAAAATGAGCAATTCTCTTATCGAATTTTCAATTTCAGATTAGTGAAACCCACCAGCAATGATAATCGTTAACGGTATTTGATAGGATCTCCAGAAAATTAGCTGTAACTTTGTAACTGATATATACTGTTAGTAAACAAATGACAACAACCTCTTTAAAATAAATAATTTTACATGCGAAAACATTTTTAAAATAAAGTCTCTGAGTTTTTCAGAGAGAATTCTCGTAAATCATTTTATTTTCGATCGAAAATATATTGAAAATAAGCACAATCCTTTGCGTACATATTATTATCGCTGTATAAGTATTGCAATTTCAGTTTTATCTTCATCAGCAGTTATAACTGGACTGTGGATATTATACAGTTATGGCAAAAATGGTTAAGCAAAATATAGAACGGTAAATATATCAGAAGAATGTAACTATCTTGTTACACCATTTTCAATTTATTGAAACTATTGAAAGAACAAGTACCGCTTCAATAAATTCTTATTCTGTACAATTGATGCGAACAATTTTTATTTTGCGTAAAGATCCGCAGTCTAATTACAGTGAAACAGGAAGTTAATGTTCATGTTGAGTTTGGTTAGAGAAGCAAGAAATTACCTGAGCAGTTGCGAAATATTCAAAATACCTAGCGAATGCTTCGCTCAGCCACAAATAGCTCCACCATTCAGGTGTAATTTGGTTTCCAAACCACATGTGGGCCAATTCGTGAACTATCACCGAAGCAACGCGTTGTTGTGCAATGTCGGAAGACGTGCTCTGATCGTACAACATTCTCGATTCCCGATAAGTGATCAAACCCCAATTTTCCATCGCACCAGCCGCAAAATCAGGCACTGCCACCATATCCATTTTTGGTAGTTGATATTCTTGTTGGAATAAGTCGGAGAGATACCGGAGGGCATTCGGACCAATCTTGGCAGCGTATTTTGCTTGATCTATGGCATCCGACCTAGCCCAGACACTAAAGTTACCTGTCGTCAGATTACTGAAATCTGAAACTGTGAAAGCCACCAGGTACGTAGACATGGGAATGCTTTCAAGGAATATATCCCAAACCATTTCGTCACTGTAACAATGAATGCTTGTATTGGCAATTGATTTAATATATTTTATTAAGTTGATAGGTTTATAAATTTTCGTGCGAAAGTAGACAACACCTTTATATCGTATTCAACATAATTTCATACAATTAGTGCGTGTCTCGTGTTACGCAGAGTGTCCCAGTTAAAGGTGACCACCTAAATATCTCTGTTATTTTTGGAGATATTGAAAAACTTGATGAACACTTTATTTAGTTTTTTACTTAATTTCTCGAGGTTATTTCTAGTTTTTTAATGGAATGCTTAAAGAAAATTTCGTCAAAATTTTCTTGTCTTGCACATTAACGTATTCTAACATAAAAGATACATTCGATGCTTGTTTCATAAAGTCAATCGTTTAATAGTTATTTGAAACGGCATTTATTGCTAGACACTCTGTTAGCCAGGTTTCTCGCGGAAATGAAATAAAATGCAGGATAAATTGAACTTACACCATCTTTTTTTGGATCGTGTGTGCTTAGGAAAAACAGTAGTAAGATTCTACGTATGTATAATTATATAGTTTTTAGGGACAAAAAGATTATTAGAATGTTCAAGAATGTTATCTATAGAATTCGAAAATTCTATTTCTAATACTTCTTCTGCAAATTTTCTCCAGTTCTTTTATCGAATATATAAAAATGTGATGAATACAAATATGCAGTGGTCTGGATGTCTCAGAATCGGTTAGAGCAAGTACTTACCTTCCGATTGGTGGGGTTTGTGCGCTTTCATCGCGCGGCATATTACTCAGGCTTAAATACTCCTTTGGTCTTAAAATTTTGATTTTAAATGTTGCCTTGAAGCTAGGTTCGTCGAAGCATGGAAAAACATGTCTTGCATGTTTTGTTTGGAATTGCGTCGAAGCTAGCCACCTACGATGTTTGTAATGTATTAATATTTTTATAAACAACGCCTTATAGTGGTATCTTTTCCAAAAAGAGATGAACAAAATGCAATTTTTTGATCTATACTTCTATCTATCAAATGCCGTTTGACTTTTTCAAATATTGTGGCTGCTTGCTGAGATATACAATATACGATATATGTATATACGTTAGAGTTCAAAAGTATTCGACAATAATTATCTCTTACATTCCGTTCTTTCACCTCATTATAATGTATTTCATATGGTTATTTTTAATTTTGCTCAGGTATGCACGTTCATTTGAATAAGCTTGAACCCGTCGAGATTGGCCACTTAAAATTGTGGAGCGAATTAGATAAAACTATAAATTTCTAACCCTTCCCATTCGAATAACGAATAACGAAGTTCATCACTAAAAATTGCTACATCATTTTTTCAAGTAATTTGTACATTATTAAATTGGTCTATATTTAATGAATCGTTAAAAATGTAAGTACTGTACATGCAAATAAGTTCAATCTGATATGCATGCAATACAAAAATAATATGAGATCAGAATCAGAACTACAGTTAGAAGGAATATTTTAGTTTTGAAGTAAAAACAGCTTCGAGCGCAAAAGGTTAAAATTTTTAAGTACAGTTGATGAAAACAATCCAATATAAACAAAGAGACGAAAGAAAGGAATATTCAAAAAGATATTTAAAAAGCTTGTCATCTGTCATTAGCTTCGTTTGAAAAAATTACTATAACGTTGCAACTTAAGTATAGCTTAACAATCTATAAATATTGCAAACAAAGTTGTAGTAACTTCCATCACTGCATTCGACGCATCAACTTGTTTTATTTTGACAAACAATATATTGAGGTGTTATTTATTCACAGAATAAAATTCAGATATATTGAACAGCATTTCACCAGTTAGGGCTTAACTATAAATATTAATGTTTATTCGTAATTATTGATCAGACAAATTCGGTATAATTTTACCTAACTTTTCCTTTCGAATCGATGTACGCGCTTTTGTAAAATCCAATCATATCATTCCGGAGTGTTGCAAAATAATTGAAGTCCAGAGTTATATTTGATCCTTTTTTCAAAATATTCTCCAACTTAATTGTGTATTTTTCTGTTTTCATGTCATGTTTTACATCTGATGGATTTAGTTTTACCGTATTATTTAATGTTACAGTCATAAGGTCTATAGTGATGTTCCCGACATTTAGAATTATGGTATCAGTTTCTTCTTGTACAGAAGCCTCTATGCTTGAGATCCCTGTAATTTCAGTGTCACCTTCCATGGAAGGGATTAGAGCAATGGAATAACTATTAGGAACGATCGCTTTTGGCAGTCGAAAGTACAGGACCTCATTGTCCTCCACCAACGTTCCTGCAGAATGAAAACAGTATTAAAATCGAATATTAAAATGAGCACTTTATATTGTCATTCTTCAATATTACACTTTAATCGTATAATTTAATATTCAGGCGAGTATAAATATTGTTATGTAACTATCTAATTTATGATAATTAATTTTAAGTTTCATATATTTCATTAAGGGCCTAGAAAAGCTAATGTGACTAGAAAGAGTACATTGAAAGAAGATTTTAAAAATGATTTATAAGTAAAATTATAAATGATCCTAACCATACTGAGTTATATTTTTGTCAGAAAGATCATTTGCAGGGTAAATTGCAAGTTCGCTCTTTCTTTCATCAGTTTTCTTTTAATCTTTTTACTATTTTCACTATCTTTTACTATCTTTTTATTATTTCAAGTTCATTTAATTTACTCAGTTTTGTCATAAATCCATAAGATACGCAGTCTAATAATCAACTTATTAAGACTACTTAAAAACGAAATAACTTTCTATTTAAATCTATTGTCTAAATACAATATTCTTCCATCTGTCTCCGTTATGAGTCATCAGTATAATCATAATTTCAAAGTTATGTTCGACATACTTCATAATTTTAAATACATTTTTCTCGATTCCTAAGATAAATGTGCAGATTCTTTTCTATGTCAGGAAATACAAGATCAGTAACGGTTAAAAAATTATGCGTTCGATTTTGATTTCCATAAGATTTTATTTAAGTTAAAGTACTTTTTTATTAGGGATCGAAGTTAACGTTCAAATGTACATCTCAATTAGAATCTAGGCAATTAATTTTTTAATTATTGAAAAATTAAGAGAAATAAGAGTGGGCAAACGTTTTAAATGTTTCCTGTTTTAAATGTTACATGTTTCCTTTAGCGATCTTAGCGTATTGTATAATACATTTAATACAATTTAGTATGTACCTGCAGTATTGTTGACCAGATCGTTCGCTTCATGACATCCTGTGTAGATTAGAATAAGAAAAATGGCTAATTGATCCACACGAACGAAATTCATGATGTTCCGTCAATGCTCGCTCCGTTTGCTAAATTGAATTGATTGACAAATAAATATTTGCATATTTAACAGAAATTAGTAATAATTAAACTGCGGGTCTTTATTCAAAATAAAAATTGTTTTACAAGAAACAGAAATGAAATAGACATTTCTTTCTGCTCTGATTGGTTCTAATAAGTTGGAATTAATACGTTAACATCAGTAAACCCTTTTAATCTGTCTACTACTTGAAACAGCACCTACTCATTTTTATCACAAATACATAATAAAGCCCGCAGTCCATATGTAGTATATGGCAAATTACTATCATAATTTAAAAATAAGACGCAAAATTGATATATCTCATAATACGTGAACCTTTATCAGCGATGTATAGTACGTGACATTGTGTACTAATCGCTAGACTGATAAGAGTTAATAATACTTTGATTCTTTAAATATAAACAAAAGTATAGTATAAATTTTCGTTAATATTCAATAAGTTTCATTTTTTAACAATTGAGGCTTCCATTAATGCATTCATTTAATGAATGAATTAACTTTCATTATATGTCTTTCGTCATGTTACATGTTTTTTTGTCTCAGAAAACGAATGTAAATTTCCTATATATATATTTGATAATCACGAATATGCCATTACAGTTTATTGAATCATTCATCAATAACATAGAAATTGCAGTAATAACTTCAAATCGTGTTTTGCGATATGTGACCTAGTTTTTGAAACTTTCTCTTATAATTTAAATCAGCGTAAAAAATGCTATCAAAATAAATATTTTCAAAATTTTATCTGAGAAATTACTGATAGTTGATTTTTGTCTGGTCAGCCTCCCTTAAAATTTACATTGTACTTAACTTTATATTCTTCGTACATTGAATGAAATACGCTCATATTACCATTAAATAATTGAAATATATCTACTCATGTAGGCAAAAATATAGCATTTTGCATTTCAGCATTATTTCAGAAATTCCATAGTTTTGCATTCAAAACGCTATATCTACTCGAAACGTGATCTGGAAGATCTAATATTTTGAATTTTGAGGTTTTAGAGAGAGAAACAAATTTTGTACAAATATGAAAGTCTAAAAATTGAATTCTGGCCATAAATTACCGCTTTCCTGACCACTATGCCAATGGCTTAAGTTGCCGTTTTTATGGTTTAAGCAAAGAGGACATCACAAAACTACGAAACCAACAAATTAGGTGGCAGTGGTATTATTCCATAGGCGATAATAAGGTACTATGAAAAAACATTTACGAAGTTCATTCACATCAATACGAAGAATACAAGACCAGATATAGATATCATCGATGAGCAACTGGGAAAATATGTACGTATGTATATGTCCGTTTGCATAACTAAAACAACCTTCATCTTTCAACATGATGACGCTGCTTTGTATAAAGGAAAGATTGTGGAAGATCATTTAAAAAAGGAATCGATATGTACTATATGTACTATATGATTCGTTGACCTAAATGTTACAAACAATCGTCGAAGGACATTGTCTAAAAAAGTGTACATCAGAGAGAAACAATTATCATTAGCTCGTTATACACGAGCAATTAAAACAGTATCTCGAAGGAAAATGGAAGTGTGAAAACAAAAAACAATTACAAAATTGAATGAATTAAACAGGCTCTTAGAGGTTATAATAAATAAAACTGACAGTACATACTATGAACGGATAATAAAACTAACGTAGAAGTATTTAGATTTTATAAGAACACATCACCTCTTTTATACTTTTCTTTGTGCAGAAAAGGAGGTGTTATTTTTAGTTTTATTGGTCTAGTTGCACTGATATAGTTTTAGTGTTTACGTCAACGGAATCCTATTTTAATATAGTAAGCTTGAACACATCGTGTTTGTACATTCCGTTATTCTCTTTTACCATACATAAAATGAATAAAGATATCCTATTTCGAAGAAAGAGATAATGACCTTGAAATTTCGTGAAATGTGATAAGAAAAATATCATCACGGCAATAATTGTTTTTTCTCTTATACATTCTCTCATATAATTAAAGACAATGAAGGTATTTTAAGCAAAAATGTTAAATGGCTCATTCTGTATAATGAATTTAAACAACAACTATATTTAAAAACCGCTACGAGAGATGACAAGTATGTCCATTGAAATAGAACGTTATGGTATTACAAGAGAACGTTTTGATGACTTTGTTGAGTGAAACTGTCACTTTCAAGATGCATAAAAATGAAGAATTGTTTTCGTACTTCGTGTTTGCGTATATCATATTTAAAAAAATAATATTTCTGTCCTAAAATGTAATCTACGTATATGTACATGGCGAAATGTTAAAAAGACGAATGAAGTAAATTATACAAAATTACTATAAATTAACTTAACTTTAAATTATTTTATCAATAAATTTGGTCAGTAAACGATTCACGTGTTCGTAAACGATAATACTCGCACTTGACAGTGTGTTGGTGTTTTTAACGATTAGGCTTAAGTATTATAGGATATGCATACATACGGTGTGCCAAAAATTTGTAAGATAACACTTGGGCTGATGACAAATCTACATCCGTGAAAAACATTCGAGGAGTCTAGATTAAAATCCATTGAAGAACTTTGATTACAAGAATAATAGAAGTCATTATCTAGACGTTAGCTTGCAAGTTTTGTACGAGAAGGAAATGTTGATGAGCATTGGTATTTAAATATCCAATCATCTACATAAATGTGTTCTTGGTTTATCAGCCATCAATATCAATACACATGCCACACATCTTTTTATCGCAAACTCGAAATCGTTCTTCGCTTGTTATTGAAGCAGATCAAATAACGCGTTTCTTTTCTTTTATCGTCTATCACTCCATTATAACACACCGGAGATTTCGTAAGGATTGCATTAAAATCGTCAACGTTATTTCGTCCGAACGAAAAGCAAATTGAACCGATAACAGTCACACTCGACAAACAGATTACTCGACGCTGACTCCGAACAACGGCGATACGTATTTATTGACTTCTGTGCATTGCTAATCAAATGTATTCGTAAGATGCACAGTATAAGCACCACGACCTTTTGACCGTAAAAATACAGCTATTGAGATTACACCACAGTGCCTTCTGTTACTTAACCAGATCTCTATCATCCTATATTTCGTGGCATCTAACTGTATAACTGAAATTAAAATAGAGTATTTTATGAAAACATTTAACAAAGAAAAAGTTGACTTAGAAAACGCGATTTACTAAATATTATACTGCGTATTATAACAGTGAAAGAATAATGTGTACAAGATTAATTTAACTTTCTGAATTTAAACAACTCTGAATTTGTTTCAATCAATTTTTGTGGATTTGGAGATAGGGAAAACCTATGCAAAGTGATTTCAATATATTTCATGTAAATAAATTGTTAACTTTTAATGTTAATTTCGCACTATTTTAATCTTACCTTTTCTATTTTTTTTTTATTTGTCATATGCACTAAATAAAGCAATATTGCAATATAAACAATGTGTCATACGCTTCACTATAAGAAATACCTCTAATTTAATCAAACATATATCTGTAAAAATATCAAATTTTACTCAAATATTTACGATATATAAAGTTTCATAACTTTTGTCGGTAAGTGTATATGAAGAATACTGAAAAAATCAAAATATTGTTACATATTTCGAATGTGCATATTGCTATAATTTAATGCCTATATAGTGCATGCGAAATAAATACATTATATGATTTAACTAAGGAATATGATGTATGTTATGTGTATTTAGAGAGAAAGGAAC